CAATGGATTTAAGTTTGGCAAATTTTGATTTAGAAAAGATATGAGGCTTCCACCTTACAAATTGAACTGTTTGCCTTAGTTATTTTCTTTTCTGAAACTTTTCCCTGTTAGCTGCAACAGAACACATGCATAACACAAGACACACAACCCTCTTTGACATCCAACTCAACCTATGCAAAAAACTCAATGTGTATAAAGGGCCCTTAGACCTGGAATTCATTGAATGAATCATCTGCCAATCAATTCAGAGCAATTGCTAAAAAGCACCTCATCTCCCTAGCAAAACCAGCTCATCCATTATTATCATCAAAAAGAAGCACTAAACCCACTAGGGTCATACACCACTGACCAGCTAATCCAACTCTCCCTGTTCTTCCAGTCTTCCTCCATTATTATTATTATAATTTTCAGCACCCATATCCAGCATATAGCCAAAAAAGTATCCAAAACGGTTGGGATCCTCTCCAAGATACGATACTACGTGCCGCAAAATGCCCTTCTCACACTATACCACTCACTTATTTATCCATACCTCACCTATGCTATTTGTGCTTGGGGATCAACTGCAGCAACACACCTAAAGCCAATAATAACCCAACAAAAAGCTGCAGTAAGAATAATCACTAAATCCCATCCCTGGCAACACACCCCCCCCACTCTTCATAGATCTAAACTTACTCCCAGTTCAGTACATCCACACTTACTACTGTGCAATCTACATCTACAGGGCCTTAAACTCTAATATCAACCTTGACCTAAAACGCTTTCTTGATAGTTGTGACAGAACCCACAGGCATAACACCAGACACAAACATCTCTACGACATTCCCCGTGTCCGACTAAACCTTTGACAAAAATTCAATGTATGTCAAAGGCCCTAAAATCTGGAATACCCTACCTGAGAACTCTAGAACTGCAGACACATTCATCACCTTCAAAACTACCATTAGAAAACATCTTATCTCCCTGATACAACCCCGTCAACTAACTACACGAATACCACCTGGTGGTTCACACTTACACTCACTCACTCATTTGACCATAAACAGAAATATTAATCTCAATCTTAAAATAATGAATCCTGTGATACTCCAATACTGAAACTATGTACTGTGCCAAAACAAAAGCATTCACATTGCTAAACTCACAAACTAGTATTTAGTCACTTAGCCATAATACCAACTTACCTCATAATTTGTAATATTTTACAATTAAGAATAAAACTAAGTATGCCTGAAATGCCTAGCCATGCTAAGCGTTCTAGTGGTACACTCTGTAATCACAATTTTACTACATGTAAACCAAACAATAACCAAATTTCTGTAAACTCAGCATTGTAATCCTTATAGAGAATAAACTTTGAATTTGAATTTGAATAATCAAAAAGAAGCACTAAGCCACAAGGACTATACAGCGCTGCTACTAAGCAATGATGAAATCAGTGATAAAACATTAATGTAAACAGATAACTTTAAAGCACAAGTGAGTATTACAAAGACAGGTCATATGGTTGCATTCAGTTAGGTAGTGATTCTGTTAGGTAGTGTATTTAAAAAATATAAAGTTAGATTGGGTTTTAGGTTAACATTATGTGATATAATTGTGAGAAACATTTAAGATATACAATTTATAATGTTCAGTTATTCAGTATTATTTGGTTTTGGGCGAGTAAGTAATCTTTGAGAAGAGACTTGAATTTATAAACAGGTTGTGTTTCTTTTATATTTACAGGTAATGAATTCCAGATTTTAGGGCCTTTTATGTGCATTGAGTTTTTCATAGTGTGAGTGGACACGAGGAACATCAAAGAGTGATCTGTGCCTTGTGTTATGGTCATGTGTTCTGTTGAGGTTGGCAAGGAGATGTTTGAGGGGAGGGTTAATATCAGAGTTAAGTGTTCTATGTATGTAATAGGTGCAGTAATAAGTATGGATGTTTTGTATGGTGAGTAGGTTTAGTGTATTGAATATTGGTGGAGTGTGCTGCCTGTAGTGAGAATTTGTTATGGCCCTAAGACCTGGAATTCATTGAATGAATCATCTGCCAATCAATTCAGAGCAATTGCTAAAAAGCACCTCATCTCCCTAGCAAAACCAGCTCATCCATTATTATCATCAAAAAGAAGCACTAAACCCACTAGGGTCATACACCACTGACCAGCTAATCCAACTCTCCCTGTTCTTCCAGTCTTCCTCCATTATTATTATTATAATCAAAAAGAAGCGCTAAGCCACAAGGACTATACAGCGCTCAGTCTTCCTCCAACTCCTATAGAAAATTAAATGTACAAGATTAACAATCCCACCTTCACTAGTTCCTATTGTTCACTTCTTTGTAAAATGCATTTATTATTATTATAATCAAGGGGGAAGCACTAAACCCGTAGGGTTATGCAGCGCCTGTGGGGGGAATTGTGAAAGGTATTCAGGCTTAATTAACCCTTAAACTGTCCAAACGTAGATCTACGTTTGCACGTGTAGCGCTCCAACCTTAATTTTCTCCATAAGAAACAATGTAAAAAAATTAGATCTATGTTTGGAGTGCTACCCAAGCAAACGTAGATCTACGTTTGGAAAGTTTAATTAAGGGTTAAGGCAATCTGAGCACAGATCCAATTCCCTAGATCAAGAGCCCCTCACCAACGTAAGAAAACTCCCTTCGGGGGTTGCAAAATGCAATTATTATAATCATGGGGGAGCGCTAAACCTGTAGGATTATATAGTGCATGTGGGGGGATGGAAGGTATTCAGGCTCAATTTAGGGAACCGGAGCACAAATCCAATTCCCTAGATCAAGAGCCCCTCACTAGCGTCAAGGAGCCTCCCTTGAGGGGGTTGAAAAATGCAAATGGGACAAAGGAGCAGCAAGTCCCACTTCCCCATGCACTAACAGGAACAAACTTACTTGTTGTGGAGTCTGTCCCTAGCTAGAAATTCCCCTGGAGACAACCCCAATTTTCAAGTCTGAATCTGCTCACCATTAAGAACATCCATACATATTCAAGTGCCTACTACATACACAGAACAATACACGCAAATATAAACCCTCCACTCAAACTTTTCCTCACCAACCTAAACAGGACACATGACCACAACACAAGACACAGATCTCTTTTTGATATATCTCGTGTCCATATCACACTGTGTAAAAACTCTATGCACATAAAGGGCACCAAAATGTGGAATTCATTACCAGAAGATATTAAAGTAACCAGTCTGAAAATCAATTTAAGACTCTTCTCAAAAGCCACTTAATCACCCTAGACTAAATGTTAAATACTCAGTACACACTTACTCACTTATGTACTCCCACATCATAACTGAAACAATCACATTGAACCTTTTATCCATTGTTGACAGGAATATAATTGAATCATTTTCACAAAAAATATTTTCGATATATGAATATATCCTTTGTCTTATACAAATTTTGATTCATTTATAATTAATAATCTACTGAACAACTATGAAATAATTACTATCCTACTGTACAACTATGATATACTCCTTAGTGTTAAGTAGACTAAGCCAATAATGTGAAGTTGGCCACTAATGCCTAAGCATAATAGAGGCTCTCTTTGCATTGCAACCCACTATTGTAAATACAAAATTTCAATCTGCTGTTTGCAAAGACATAAAATAAATAATTAAATAAATAAATAAATAAATTTACTGCGTCTTCGTGTTTGTGTTTTTAGGGCCACTGAAAGCTTACGCCGTATCGAGCCCGACTTCCCGATGTACTAGGAAGATTTGTTGTACAAAGCTGGACAATGAAGAAAAAGTAGCGAAAGTTCCTTTTTAAATATTAATATTTTGAATCATATAAATGCTCTCCTATATGTTCTACCTGCCTCACCAAACATATAGCTATAAGCTATGCTGATGACATCATGATCCACACAACAGGGCATAAGAAGACCATTCTTAATGAAGTTCAAGCAATTTGTAATCGACTAGGCCTCATAATATCTTCCTCTAAAACGAAGATATTAACAAGCAAACGACATCCCTCACCCATCTATTTGCAGGGTGAAAACATTAGCTAAGTTAAAACTTACAGATATCTTGGTGTAGATGTACCCTTTAACAAATCCACTACACCACAACTAAATAAGAAATGCAAAGCTAGACTAAATGCTCTCAGAGCTGTTGCTGGCTACAACCCCAACTATGGTGCTAATGTGAGAATCGTGAGAAAGATGTACATAGCCTATGTTAGGTCCTTAATTGATTATGCTGCTTCCATGTTGATATTAACTAGAGAAAGTTCTCTCCGACCCTTAATGAAAAATGAAGCTCTCAGAATTATTCTTGGCTGTCCCAAATCTATAAAGGTTCTTAATAATAATAATAATAATAATAATAATAATAATAATAATAATAATAATAATAATAATAATAATAATAATAATAATAATAATATCTTTATGAACTACAAGTACATGTACAAGGTATACAGGCCTAGCTGACATCAATGATATACTACTATTGTGAAAATTTGTCTGGACTGCCTCCAAGTGAGTCGCCTACCCTGGCAAGCTCTGTTGACACCGAGCTCTGAGGTCGGTACCTCAGCCTCACAACTGGCTTATAGGACAGATTTTCATAAATGACTGATGTTGCAAGAAATCTCGCCTGCATGCACGTTTAAAGGACTAACTTACTTGGTGATGTAGAAGCTATTCTGGTCTTCAACCTCCCTAAGCTTAGCCCCTTGGACTTCCCCTCAGAAACCACGTGCAACCGGGAGCCTTAATTCCTGCAATATTCAGTCGATATTAAGTGACCTGCCTGCACCTCAGAAATTCCTGTATCCAAGAGGGTGTGTATCTCCTAGTATAACTATGCAGAAACGGACACTAGCTTCTAGGTTGACAAGAGACAAAGTACGTACTGGTCATGAACTGCCGGCTGCACAAAGGCCTACAGCTCAACTCACTCGCAACTTTCCCCAGACACTGGCCAGAATCCTAAGAAAAAGCGGAGGTCTTGTCTTACTGTATGGGCCTGACGGAGGAGGACATCTATGGTACGTTGAGGTGCCTCCACCAGATTTCCCCAGGTCTCATATGTGAAGACACGTGGGAGCGCTGCCTGCTGATCACAGCACGTGTTGTTCAGATGGTGCCTGGTCCTAGAAGGGAGCTCTGGCGTCTTCGAGACCCGTGCCTCGTCGTTCAAACTGGGACTGCCAGTTCTCCCTAGCTAACATAACCTAGTGTTTGCCTACATTCGGCCTATTACTACCTATGTTAAGGTCTTAGGTCTACATTATTATTATCTACAGTTGCCTCAATAATCCTAATATTAGTGTACTAACAGTATAAACTACCTACTTCTTCCCTGAAGGGTAAATCTATCAAAAAGTACCTTCCAACCACCTTCGCCAACCCGGGTGAGTGTGTTTGTGTTTTGGGTGGGTGTAAGGGCCCTCGAACGGTGTGTTTTTCACCGTTGGGACTTCTCGGACTGAATAAGTTCCAACAACTATATAGAAAGCCCCTTGTTATGCTCAGCATTTCGGGCAAATTAGGTCAGTGTCCCAGGATGCGACCCACACCAGTCCACTAACACCCAGGTACTCATTTTACTGATGGGGAACATAGACAACAGGTGTAGAGAAACAGGCACAATGTTTCTACTCTGGCTGGGAATTGAACCCAGGCCCTCGCCGTGTGAAGCGAGAGCGTTAGCCACCAGGCCACCAGAGGAGGAAGGAGCTTGGTATTTATTTATTTATTTATTATTAATTTGGACATGATACGTAGATGTACAAAGAAATACAGTGGTTAAGTGTAACATGCCAAAAGCCCCTTGTATGCAGAGCATTATGGGCAGGCTTAAAATTAACTTAAGAGTAACTAAGCAATGATATATTCAGTGGTTAAAAATTATAGTAAACAAATAACAATTAAGCACAAATGAGTATTTCAAAGACAGATCATATGGTCATTTGCTGAGTTGCTGTGCATTCAATAGAATGGAGTATTCTGTTGGGTAATGTAATTAAAAAACAAAGTTTGATAGGGTCACAGGTTAAACATTTATGAGATACAATTATTCAGTATTTATTTAGTTGTGGGTGAGTAAGTGATTTTTATGAAGACACTTGAATTTATAAACAGACAGTGTTTCTTTTATATTCACAGGTAATGAATTCCAGATTTTTGGGCCTTTTATGTGCATTGAGTTTTTGCATAGTGTGAGATGGACACGAGGAACATCAAAGAGTGATCTGTGCCTTGTGTTATGGTCATGTGTTCTGTTGAGGTTGGTAAGGAGACGTTTGAGGGGAGGGTTTATATCCGAGTTAAGTGTTCTATGTACGTAGTTTAGTGTTCTATGTATGTAGTAGGTACAATAATAAGTATGGATGTTTTGTACCTTGAGTAGGTTTAGAGTTTTGAATATTGGTGGAGTATGTTGACTGTTGGGTAATTAATGGTCTGAGATGGTTTATTGTTGTTGAGTCCCATGCACAAATTCCATAGGTGAGATAGGGGTAAATAAGTGAGTGATATAGGGCCAGGAGGGCTGACTGTGGAACATAGTACCTTATCTTCGATAGTATGCCTACGGTCTTGGAAATTTTCTTGGAAATTTATTGTACATGTGTTTGAAATTTAAGTCTATTATCAAGGTGGATTACTAAGAATTTTCCCTCTGTGAGCTTTGTGATAGGTGATCCGTTTATCATTATGTTAAGAGGGACATCTGTAGCTCTGTTTTCAAACTGAATGAAGTAGGTTTTGTCAATGTTGAGAGTAAGCTTGTTAGTCATCATCCAGGTAGGTATTTTCTGTAATTCGGTATTTACAGTATTGGCTAGCATGACTGGGCTTGGGTGAGAGAAGACGAATGTAGTGTCATCTGCAAATAGTATGGGTTTGAGTAGTTGCAATGCATTTGGTAGGTCGTTTATGTAAACGAGAAAGAGAAGAGGGTCAAGGACACTTCCCTGTGGGACACCAACTGTAATTGGCTGTGTGGAAGAGTTTGCTCCATTTATGTACACATATTGGCTTCTGTTGCTGAGGTATGACTTTAGGTAGTTGAGGGAGTGCCCTCTTATAACATAGTGCGACAATTTTATGTGGAGCAAATCATGGTCAACTGTATCAAAAGCTTTACGTAAATCAATGAAGATCCCCAGTGGGACTTCTTTTTTCTCTAGTGCAGTGTATATTTGTTCTAGCATGTGTATAATAGAATTCGTATTTTTATTAGGCCTGAACCCAAACGGACAGGGGTTGAGTATGTTGTGGGAGATGAGGTAGGAATAGATTCGCTTATGAATTAATTTTTTGAAGATTTTAGAGAGAGGGTGTAAGTTGGATATTGACCTATAGTTATTCAAGTCTGTTTTGTCTCCTCGTTTATGTATCAGGGTGACCCTCGCTATTTTGAGAACTGTAAGGAAAGTAGAGGATTTTATGGATTTGTTAAAGAGTGTTGCAATGATTGGTGACAGCACTTGCGACGCTTTTTTGTATATGAAGGGTGGTAAGGTATTTAAATCTCCTGTCTTGTTTTTCAGTGTATTGTAAGTGTCAGGGGCCCGAGACTGTTCAACTGCCTCCCAGCACACATAAGGGGGATTACCAACAGACCCCTGGCAGTCTTCAAGCTGGCACTGGACAAGCACCTAAAGACAGTTCCTGATCAGCCGGGCTGTGGCTCGTACGTTGGTTTGCGTGCAGCCAGCAGCAACAGCCTGGTTGATCAGGCGCTGATCCACCAGGAGGCCTGGTCACAGACCGGGCCGCGGGGGCGTTGACCCCCGAAACTCTCTCCAGGTAAACTCCAGGTAAGGGAGACTTCTGTTGGGTTAGTCGGAGCTAGGAACAGTGTGTTCGGGTAGTTGCCAGTGAGGTAGTTAGATAAGATAAGATAAGATTTCGTTCGGATTTTTAACCCCGGAGGGTTAGCCACCCAGGATAACCCAAGAAAGTCAGTGCGTCATCGAGGACTGTCTAACTTATTTCCATTGGGGTCCTTAATCTTGTCCCCCAAGATGCGACTCACACCAGTCGACTAACACCCAGGTACCTATTTGCTGCTAGGTGAACAGGACAACAGGTGTAAGGAAACGTGTCGAAATGTTTCCACCCCGCCGGGAATCGAACCCGGGCCCTCCGTGTGTGAAGCGAGAGCCTTAGCCACCAGGCCACTGGGTGGGGTATTTGAGCTTGGGATTTTATTGGCTGGTTTTTTTTTCCCATGGTGGAGAAGAAATCATTGAGACTGTTTTCTGTTTCAGTTGGTGGGAGTTGGGATTCATCTGGTTTAGTTAGTTCAATTGCGCTATTTCCAGATATATTTTTTGTTCCTAGAATTTCTGATAGGGTTTTCCAGGTCATTTTTATATCACCTTTTAAGTTGGATAATCTGTTCTCATAATACAATTTTTTAGCCCTTCTTATCAGGCTGGTTAGGATTGACGAGTAACGTTTTGTTTGGTCTCTGGTTATGTGACCCATTCTGTATTGTTTTTCGTATAGGTGCTTTGTATTTATGGATTTGAGGATGCTGAGTGCTAGCCAGGGACTGTTCAACCTCTTAGCTGCCATCTATTTAGTTTTTAGGGCAGTGTTTGTTATAAAGGTATTGGGTCTTTTTTAGAAATTTATTAATACATTCGTCAATATCTGTATAGATTTCTAGCTCAGTGTGCCAGTCAATGTTTGTTACTGCTGTTGTGAAGTTATTAATGGCTGCCTCATTATGAAGTCTGAAAGTGACTTTAGTAGTGTCTTGGGGTAATTTGCCTTGATTAGTTTTGAGTTAGTTTAGTTTAATATGTTTATTATGCACCCCATACCCATCCTGTGGGCGGTAGTCAAAAGGTTACAGAGGTACATAATTGGTCCAGGGACTGGACTCCAAAGTTTTGAGGAAGGTAGGGTAGTGGTCTGTTGTATTATCTGTGATTATGCCTGACTCTAAAGGGGATATGGTGTTGGTCCAGATGTGGTCTAGTAGGGAAACTCTAGTCTGTAATTCTTGTAGGTTTTGTACTGTTGGTAGCACCAAGCAGTTACTCATAGCGTTTGTGAATTCAGTAACTTGTGGGTCCTGGTCTTGCAGGAGATTGATATGAAGTCACCGGAGAGTAGTAAGTGATCTTTATTCATGTGCGCATCAGTTATCATATTTCCTAGGTTTTCACTAAAACGGTTAATGTTTGACTGTGGTACTCTGTAGATGTTTATCACTGTGATAGGCTTTTGTAGGTATTTGGATTTGAATTTAGCTATTATATGTTCCCAATGTTCATCCCTTGTGCATGTATTATTGATACATTTTAGATGGTCTGGGTAGTTTACCTGGAGTTTACCTGGAGAGGGTTCCGGGGGTCAACGCCCCCGCGGCCCGGTCTGTGACCAGGCCTCCTGGTGGATCAGAGCCTGATCAACCAGGCTGTTGCTGCTGACTGCACGCAAACCAACGTACGAGCCACAGCCCGGCTGGTCAGGAACAGTAGCCACCCCCTTGTCGATCTGGCCTACAGTTGTGTATGGCTGTGTAACCAGGAATGGCATAGACATTTGTAGTATCAGGCTTTAGCCAGGTTTCGGTGAGAGTAATGATGGACATACTGGCATGCAGGGAATTTAGTAATGCTGTGAGGTCATCGTAATGTTTGCTTAAAGATCTGACATTGTAGTTAAAGACAGTTATGTTGTTATTGGCTCTGAGAAGTGCCTTTGATTGTTCTGCTGTGTAGTAATTACAGTTGCTGTTTTTATTCATTTAAGCCATTCAATAAGAGGTTGGTATCAGGATCAATGCTTGTAATCATAAGATTTATAGCGAATCTATAATTAGAATTAAGTGTAAGACAAAGTAAATATTCTGATAGGATTGTTGAGATAAACACTGTACTCGGTATTAGAATGTTAAGAAATGAACCAGACACTGTCACAATGAATCTTACTAAGTGTCTCGAAGTAAATACACACAGATCTAAATTGTGAAAACGTACAATTGCATTAAGTTTTATAACCTGGATGAACTGTATCACTGTAGACAAGAGCATTTCACCCCTCCATGGAAGATGTGTTCATTTAATATCACATACCTGCAAGTCCCTCCCAAGAAGCTCATTGCAAATAATCCCTTCCCTTAAATCACTTGTTAAAGCAACTGCTCAAGAAGAAATTTCCCGCC